TGGCAATGCTAATCGATATCTATACTTTCCTAGTCGCTGACGCTGCCGGAAGCTCGCAACACTAATGGTCGCTGGTGGACGTCAGTAGACGCTGGTGAGCTGCCGCAAAGGATGAACGCAGTTTCATCACTGCTCACTACGAAATAATATAAGTGATGGATCCGAAGAAATTCATCGTTCACAGATTGAGAGTGAGGGATTAGTTTGTAAATGTATTCCCTGGACTGCTGCTTCGGAATTGTGGAAGGGAACATAAGAATTAATCCAATCAAAACTCTCTTCATTAGAAAAAAAATCATCGGGTATTGGCTCGTGCCATTCCGAAAAGGAAGGACATCTGACTACAAAGTACGAGCAAAGAGGGCGTCACAACACCGAGTAAAAAAATGACGTATGACGGAATATTGAGAAGGAGAATAGTACTCGTAAAACATCAAAGATACGTCGGTGTCCGGTGACTGGATTTCTCGAGGGCGTTCAACGTGCTCGAAGCAATGATGACGATAAGACTAACCCGACAAGTACTCCATAACCTGACTTTGAACCAATAAGCCTTCCATCGAGTTCTACCGTATCGGTCGGTGGAGCAATTTTCCGGGATTCAACCTTCCGTCCTCGTAAAAAGTTGTTATAGTAGGCTGCTCCTAGGTTCCAGTGGACCAGCATGGTGAAGGGCGTAGTCATCTAGTTCATAGATCACTAACTCTAATTCAGCTACTTTTTCAGTGGCGAAGAAACCGCCTTCAGTTCACAGCAGATCTTGGTAAGTCACTGGTAAAGCTCTGTTATTTACTTCTTTGATTATAAATAAATTTACGCATAGAAGTGTAGAGTTTGTAACATTAATCCGTATTTGCTAAATTAGCGTCAGTATATCGTTGAGCCTCGAAAAGTATTCAGCATTTGAGCGGAGTTTTGGGGACTAGAGTGGTCTCCTCTGATGTTTTCCTATTACTCCAGAGATTTTCTTTGTCAGCTGTTCTTGTTAGCACATCGCATTATGTTGGGCACCTCGTCCTGCGCTTTAAACAAATTAGTCCAGTGATAATCGAAGCACATTACAAATATCTTCCCCCTCCTATTTACTGGAGAGTGTTCTGTGAAGTTCCTGCAGAAGAGCATGCCATGTCTCCGTGGTTGTTTTTTATTTCATAAGTTAAAGGCATATGACACTATAATTTGGTCCACCGGTTCAAAGGCAGTTTTCGCAGCGATAAATTCCCCGAGACGACTAGGATCCATACTCCTGGCAGGATAGAATTCTGCGACCCTGAGCAGGCGCAGCATAACGGTTTCCCCGAGGAAGGTGTTCTATAGATTCTATCAAGCCAGAACTCTGACGTCCCAACGCCTTCCATGCCCGCCCGCCCACAAATGGACGACCGTTCCTGACGCTCGTATTCATTCATTTGCTAAGCAAATTATGAAGCGAAGGGATTGGTATGAAGCGGCCGTGATGCTGCATGCATACATGGGTACACATATGCAGCCGTATCTTCGGTAGCGGTGATTGGTAAGATGCCTACGGGAAACTCGTCCGAAATCGATTCAAGTCACTGAGAACGGAGGCTTTTTCTTCCGCCAGGTTTTTCGACGTTCCACTCCATTCTTTCGCCAGTTCCCCGCTATGCAGCCCCCTACTAGCATTTTAGGCTAAGTAGGAAACCATCGTGCCAACTTCAAAATGCTAGCAGGGCACCATATAGTGACAAAATGATGGAAAAAATGAAGGGAAGCGGTCAAAATCTTGCAGACAGAGAGGCCTTCCTTCTCAGTTTTGAAAAAAACAGTCCTCAGACGGGTTTCCCTAGGCATATGACTTGCCTGCGGTAGGTCGGCTGCATGTATGTACACATACAGTCGCGGAAAAGAATTTTGGAACAAGCCCAAGTCGGTAATGCTGTATAGTAGGCTATTTGACCCGTCCAAAAAAACGCGCGTGAGCACGAGAAACGTTTGGGACTCCACCAAGGTCAACCCAACGTTGCATCGTGGCGAAGAAGGGGAAGGCAACGTTCATACTTTGCGACAGCAGCGGCGATCGTAGCAATCGCCGCGATCGTCGCGCGCCAATGTTATTACTTGGACCGCTCTCTAATAAATGAGGAAATCAAGTGTGAGACTCTTTCGTCAATGATAGCTACTAACTAGAAACTTTCTCTACTTAAAAGGATCTGGAATATGAAGAAGGGTTTTTACCTCGTTTGAGGTCGGAATAGGGGCGACTTCATTTGATAGGTGAGTTTATTTTTGTTTCCTTCGTTGTCATTGTTTCATCTTATATAAGTGCCTAAGATTTCATATCGGTCAAACTATTTCGACGTCCAAAATTTACTAATTTACAAGCGAATTCAAACAGCGAAAAGAAAAGAAATATGGGTTGGAAGGAAAGTATTGTCACTCTTGTGACTTTTTTCTTTTCTAACTCAACATACAGGGGAATTAGTTAGCAATATACCCCTCAAATGAGGCGGAGATGGTGTAGTGGACAAGTGGGGCGCTCACTATTCGCGCAGTCCCGGGTTCGAATTCCAGGTCGACACCTTCCCCGGCCAAGGACGGTGAATTGGTACCAGATTCGTCTGGGAGGATAAAACACTGACTTGTACATCGGCTGGCCACCGCAAGTCATTATAGGCCACATCGCATTCAATAAGCCACTACGATTCTGAATGGAAGTAGAATGCGTGCCGCATCCCACAAAGGGGATCAACGGCGAAGACTTTATCCTTTATCCTTTATCCCTTTATACCCCTCCTAGTTAGCCACTATGCTGCTTCACCTCATGGACAGGTGAGCATTCCCCCTCTTCCAGAACTGAGGAGACTGAGAGTCAAGTAAGTCGGCGGCCTCTCGACTGATGTCATCAAAGTTGCTAAAAGTTTTCTTCAGCTAAGGAAGCCTTAAGGAGACGGAAAAGGTAGCAGTCGTAGGGGACTACGTCAGGAGAATATGATGAGCGGCGGTTTGGTTTCCGCAGCTTGCCTCCTCAGTTATTTGTAGGTTTCCACAGTATTTGATCGGGATCTGCGTACTTACAACGAGTCCCGAAGCTAGTCTCGGTCATTTTTCTCCAACAATTTTCACTCATTTCAGGAGTTGAGGGACACAAGTGGTAGCGGTGACAGGGCAGCTCGTTCCGCAGCATCCTCCTCGCGTCCCAGGAGCAGCACAGGAGAACCTTTTCGGAATACATGCCCGGTTTGGACTGCTAGAATGGATCTTCTCCTTGAAAGAGACAAACGGTACTGGTGTGGGTCTAGGAGACTGCTTAGTGGATCACGGAGGACCCGTCTGTCATCTCCACTGAGCAGTCTCCTAGGAACTCCTTTTGACGAGAGCGAGAAGGGAGACTAACCATGGGGTAGCCGGGTGCGCAGCGTGCCACCGGTCAAGTGTGTAGATAGTCCATCGACCAGTATTTCGTTTAGTCAAGGGCTTACAGGCGAGTTGACCAGTGTCAGTTAAGGTACATACGAGTCTTGTCGCATAATGCGGGGTGGTAATTCCGGATCCCCCTCGACAGCTTCAAGACGTTGGAGTCTTCCACTTCGTGGGCCGTCCCAATCGAGGTTTGACTTCGAGGGTCGTGTCTCCTTTCGCGAAGCGAGCGAACCAAAGATGGACCGTCATTATGGTAGTGGTGCCCTCCACCAATGCTTTGCTGTGTTGCGGACCAGCTGCCGTGGTTCCAGTGCCTCGGGGCCACTGATAGAAGATGATGACCCGAAGATACTCCTGTGAAAGCTGACATCGTAATTAGACCCAGGAAAGTGCAGGCGCCTCACACAACTCTTGCAGGAAAGCTTCTAGAATGTTCTACAAGCAATGGCATGTTACGCCATGTTCGAGCATCAAGAAACGGAAAGTGTAGGCCTCTTCGAAAAACCCTGGCAGGAATTTCCTTCTAGCTTAATAAAATGAACCCACCTAGGAGCCGAAACACTAATGTTTTATGCAGCATCAAGGAGCAGGAAACTTTAAAATTTCATGTATAAGCTAGAAGAATAAAAAAAGAACACTAAGAAACCTACTCTAAATGAAGCTCCCACGCTTTGCTCATTTCTATCCTGAATCAAAAAAAAGAGAATATTAAAAAAACTCATCAATGTTCGTGTCACCTTTCCATTGAGTTAAAGACACTTTAAAAAAAACGATAAAATAAGGCTATGACCTTTCAAATGTGTCAGACGATCCGGAACGAGATTGCGGAGGCTGCGCCTAAAGCTTTAGAAAGTGAAAATCGGCAAGAATTCCGCTTCAAGCTAACCAATTAGGCCCATTGGCGCCCCTTAGGCCCATGCCGACCCCAACCGGCTGCTAGCTACTAGCTAGTAGCCACTATGCTATCTCTCTCCATTCCGAATGGTGAGAGTGAGGTGATACGATAAAAGAGCTGATATCTTTATGATAACGACGAGTGGAAATTCGTACAAACATGCGTTTTCTTCATTGCATGCATGTACAAGTTGAAGTCGATATGTAATCCTATTTAGGGCATTTTCGGCTGTTTTTCTGCTGCTTTCCTCCGCTAATCAGATACCTAGCCCTTTTTCGCTCCTAATGTGAGCTTCCCGCGTAGCTTGTAGGCGATACGGACCGCACACCGCCATTTTACGATCGCCAATCCAACTATTCGCTACCCTCCTTCTTCCCCATACTCTCTAACCCCGATCTCCGTGAACGTTGGTAGACGCTAGCAGACGCGAGATCGATATCTATATTTCCCTAGTTTCTGGCGCTGCCGGACGCTCACAACGACTGTGGTCGCTGGTGGACACTGCCAACATAGTATGAACGCAGCAAGCAAGCACAGTATGAACGCAGCTGTCTGAGGAAAAGAAGTGGGGACGCTGTGTAGTGGTTTCCTTTCCGAAACGTCAGCGCCAAGAATACAAGTAGAGTTCAAACATCTAAACCACTTTGTAACAAGCACAATCAAACGGTACATTACTCAAGTTCCTCTGTATCGAGTGATTTACCAATTGCAACATTATTTTATGAATTTCAGACTTTCGATTGCGAACGAGAGATCCAGATTCTTGAGCGCGACATACGACAACAGAAAGGAATCAAGTGTTAATGCCAAGACAGCAATTACGTTTGAACAATTGAGGAAAATTCACAAGTGCGTTGATTTTGTAGAAATTGTGGAATGTTACCAATTTCGCTCAGAATTCAAATACCTTTCATTAGTTTGGGGAAATTCCTCGGCACGCCCAGGAAGGAGCGTGCTTTTTCCGCAGAATTTGCCGAGCCGCCCGATATTTCCAATCGTGGCATTTCATGACGATATCGTCTCAAGCAGAATAAGGAGGTATGACCTGGGTATTCGCTACATTATGGCGTTGGGGATTTCATATATAGTGATTTGAACCGTTCACACTTAAAATGACCTGCAACCCATTTCAGAAATTTGAGCCGCCAACAATACTGAACTCCTTTCGACAAGGGTATCAGGAACCCGGAACTCCGAGTGACGGCACACCCTCGCTACTAACGACTCATTGGCAGCAACTTGCACAGTTCAATGCTAATGAGGTGAGTTTTCTCGGGCATTCGAACCATTCACAGTTTTGGTAAAAAAAAACAGCACGAGATGAACGTAACGCATTGTCAAGTGACGCACAATCACGAGATCAAGATTTGAATGGAGTTGCGCCCAAGTTTCTGGATAGCTTAGCGAGTTGCTGGTAGTAGATTTGTTGAGGGAAGGGGCAGGGATAGGAGAAGGATAGAGATGAATCGCAAAATGCAAATCATGAGCTAAAATCTCCTCGGGGGTCGTATCTGGTCGTTGGAAGGCTGGGGAGTGGGAGAGTGGCGCGGTGAGTCATAAGGCTGCGTTCATACTTTGCGGCAGCGTCCACCAGCGTTCCGAGCGTCCGGCAGCGTCAGCGACTAGGAAAGTATAGATATCGATCTAGCGTCTGCCAGCGTCTACCAGCGTGCGCCAGCGTCTACCAACGTCCACCAGCATCTCGAGGGCTAGATAAGTATGAGTATCGATCTAGCGTCTGCCCGCGTGCGCTAGCGTCCGGGATGGGAAAGTATCCCTCGATAGGAGGGTAGCTGACAGCTGGCATAGCATGAGGATATAGGAGGGTAGACGACGACGAGTTGACGCTAACGCATGCTGGTAGACACTAGATCAATATCTATATTTTCCTAGTCACTCCTAGTTCCTAGACAGTCACTGACGCTGCCGGACGTTCGGAACGCTGGTGGACGCTGACGCAAAGTATGAGCGCAGCCTTACTAAAGAACGAACAAAATAATGGAGTCACGAACCAGTCCGATCCATCAGGTCACATCGGATTGCGTTTGCGGGAGAGCGTTATGTGAAAATTTCACCTTTCAACTATTCCAGAGGAGAGGTTGAATGCATGGCGCCCTCACAGAAGAAGTCATTCGGTGATAAGCGAGCGACTTCCTCGTTTAGCTCGAGGGAACATACGGCTGGAAGACATGCTACGCTTTCCAAATGAGTGTCGGTTCAATCGTACAGAAGGGATCGAGCTCTTGGGTGGCTTCGCACACCAAAAACCGATCTACAAATTACTTTTTGAAATTGCCGTGATTCAGAACAAGCGTGATACGTTCGCCTCCAGATGCTTTTGCTTTGGCAGCCACTGCGCTGTAAATAAGTTGTGGTCGTCTAGAGCATAAAAACTCGCATGTGATTTTAATTCGCTCATCAAAAACCCGTCAAGAGATCTTCATTGAACTGTGGAAGAACCAAAGTTCAGCAATATCGCAAAACGATGACGAATACTTTACAACTGTGTTTTCCGCTTCAAAACCTCCGCTTCTAAGAAGGTCACTGTCGTCTAAATTAAGAGCACTTGTCGATAATATTAGACGCAAACTTCAGAGTAACAGAGCTGCAAGGGTTTCGAAATGAGACCCCTTTGGGGAGGGGTCGTGCTGTCACTGCAAACCATTCTGGTGAAGTACCCTGGTGGGAAAATGTTAAAGGCAAGTAGCACGATAAATCCCCAAGACGTGTAGGATTAGTACGTCTAGCAAAACAGAATCCGGCGCCCCTAAGCAGGCGCTATTTTATAGCGCCATGTCAAGCTGCAACATGCCGACCCGGAAGCCGACCGCGCCCGCCCGCCCATAAATGTCCGACCAGTGCTGATGCTCGTGTCGCTTCATTTGCGAAGTACAATAGGAAGCCGAAGGATAGTTTGAGGGTGCGGTGTTGCCTGGGCTATTCATGACCTCTATATGCAGCTGCATCTTCATGCCAGCGCCGTATTGCACGATGCCAGCGGGGATCTGGGGTCCAACAAATTGTTTTCTGGAGCCGGGTACAACAAATGCGCATTTCTGCAGCGTTTTTACCGTTCCACTTGGCTTCTTCGCCATTTCACTATATACCGCTCCTGGTAGTAACCCGTTGTATGACGCTGTATGGATTATTTGCACCATGAAGTGCAGCCACTCTGGTGAATCGGTCTACCGGGAAAAAGCCTAGGCACTGACACAATTATCCTTGTGTACAGAGCACTTCATGGGTTGGGATTTTGGTCGGACTCTACGCCCACCCCCCCCCCAATTCCTTCCTCTGTAAATAGTAACCTATCTCAAGGGGGGAGGGTTGTATAGTACTAAGAAACAGGAAAAGCCACGAAAAGTCAACAACCTTTCTCAGAAAACCAGAAGGCAGCATGGCAATTACGACACCCTCTCTCTCTCTCTCTCTCTCTCTCTCTCTCTCTCTCGACAACGAGCAAATATGCTCCCACTCCCCCCTCCCCCCCTCCCCCCACAAACAATGTGCCCTGAGTGTGCACGAGCAAATTAAATGGAATAACCAACATCTGTTCGTGTTCAGGAACCAAAACAATGGCATGAAATGCTATCCGAAATATGATTATAATTTCAGAACTATCTATCGCCTCCAACGCTTCACAGTCTTGTGCAAGTTTCATCAGCTGAGGTAAGTATGCATCCATCAGTTTTACCTTATCCTCAAAGCATAGGCAATAGACAGTAAAATAGGGTCTAGGTTTCGATTTCAGCCTGACCTCATTTCCCTCCCATAGAGAATCAGTGAGCAAGGGCACACTGTCCTGTGCCAACCTCGTATTTCTCAATTAATCGAAGTGTCATATGGGACATCCAGTGTCTAACGTTACTCCTTTAACTCGTTCTTTATTCTGATTTGGCTCTTGAGGCACTTTTATGAAATGTAAACAAAATGCCAAATGGACCGCGGAGGCGCCACATTGCTTGGCACATACTCCGTGCTGAAGCATTCCCTTCCCCCAACGCGTCCTACTCTGACCCGTATAGCCAAAAACCTTGGAGCAGCTAATTTCATGTGTTTTGAAAGTAAAC